AACACATGAATACAATATCATATCACATCATATGAATGAATGCACAATGCCAACGCAAATATTTCTTCAGAAAAAAGATGCAAATTTTATGTTTAAGCGATGATATCAAGTTTTCTTAGTCATTCTGAAGCATGCTATCGTGCTATAACCCTTTCAAGTCTTCAGTGTTACTCATCAGCTATGACTTCCCATCTAGAATGCTTCTTGGTGTTCAGAATCCTTCCCACTCGTCCGGTTCGGCGTATTTACTCATGCCTGAAGACTTTTTATTTACCAAATTGAATCATTTTATTGAAAAGCAAACATTATTGCTTGGGTTTGGTTTGTTCATTGTCGCACTACTACTGAATGGTGATTATATGAGGTCAATGAATAAATATTAGCTTTCATTGTTTTGACATTTGCAACTGTGCACATTCTTATGATGCCTTCATCGAAATTTAATTCACACCAATGATTTTTCTAAATGTTAACCGAATGCTTAGAGTTTCTGTTGCGAGCAGCAACAGCAGCAACACCAACAACAAGCTGAAATATTCGAGGCTCACGAGACACTCACCATCTCATTGGTACGTTGGCAATTGAAGAAATATCGCATTTTATCTTCATATGTTCAATGTTCATTCATTCATTCAGATTTATTATCATAACTTCTGCGTTGAAATTGAATGTGCTGATTTTTGATTTACAATTGCACTGAAATTTTTTGTTTTTCATGTGATGATGATCCTTTGCGATGAGATAGTGCTATTGTCATTGTCATTTCAATAGTATCAATGTTATGATAACTTTTACCAACCTGTTGATAACTTGAATAAAAAAACTTATGGAACCCATTCATAAGTATGAATCTACTGTTTTTTCATCAGTTCAATTGTTCGCATCTGTTACAACTCGTAGTCAATAACGGGTATTTGGATATATAGCGGCGATAGCTATAGTTCTGAGAAAATATGGAACCCCCAAAACGATCGCCATCATCAATGTAATAGGATGATGATGATGATNGAGAGAGACCAAGATATAAAATGTGACGAAATACGATGAATGGCAACGAGACTAACCGCTTAGCTCTACTCAATGAACCAATCAAGAGCGCCATTGGAGGCGGACTCGAATCGTTCTTGAGCGAGCGTTACTGGGCGCCGCCTTTGGAGCCGTCCGTCGGTGGGGCCGATCAAGCGAAACGCCGCAGCTCGATGTCGCCCTCCTCTCCTATTCTTCTATTCTCTCCATATCGTCATCCTCCTTCTACAATCCAAAATCCGAATAGTAATCATATCACGATGGTCTCATCCGAGTCACACTTGAATATCTGGATAATTCCAGGTGTATTCTAATGTTTAGGTGAATCTCGTTGCAATGCTGGCTGGTCATAATGATTTGTGACAAGTCATACTTGCAGTGGGAGTGAATTCGACTCGAGAATTCTATCGTGTTTGTACAACTGTTCATTGCAATTCATTGTGCTCAAACGTTTAGTATATTTTGTCATTGTACTGTATTTATCAACATCAACGAATTATGTTTATTGATAGACTGCTCAAGTCCCCAGTTCTGATTAGCATTCATTGCAGTAGCACACATGCTCAACAAAACCGATGAGACGGAATTGAATCTACGAATATTTATTGTTGTTCAATCGTACAGTAAATAGAATGAATACATTATAGAAATTCTGTTAGTTTTATTTTGCTCTCCGAACTGATCTTCCAATAGATTGTCA